ATATAGACAGCGCTGTGTGTGTGTGTGTGTGTGTGTGTGTGTGTGTGTGTGTGTCACATATAATTACTATTACTTTATGGCATTAAAAATAAGAGATTAGAAATAAAGTAATTCAAGATTAAAATAAATTAAAATGACAGAAGTACAAAAACTTAAAACATTTGTTGTCATGCATATTTACGTTTTTAAATATTTTATATGAAACACATGATAAAATTAAAATTGATTGAAACATTTGTCCACGTGCAGCTGGAGACGCCGGTGCGCTGAGCGCGTCTTGCGGGTTTTGCGCTTTTACGCATCGGCTGGATTTGCGCACAGGAGGGATGTTGAAGACACCTGTCGTGATTTTCACTTCTTTATCGCTTCTGTTGTCGCTGTCATGTGCTGGAGATGTAAAATCGCGCAGCTGCAGCGATGTGCGCCAGGCGTTCACGACCAAAGGCTTCAGTCTCCATAATGTGCCACGTCAGGAGATATCAGGTGAGGACAAAGTGCCAACATCGTACCACATCGTAAACTCTGGCTAAAAGCGCATTTCTGCTTATACTTCAGTTAGTTTCTGGCGGAGAACAGCTCGTGCTCATGCAGAAGGTTTTCTTTAAAGTCCTATTGATCATTAACGAGCTTGATCAATGATGATTTGCTGATGATTTGCATAAAGTGAATGAGAAAATCTAAGCTCATTAATTCAGGGTTTTGGTGACTTGAGCTTTGAAAACTTTTCATACCACAGTTGCCTTCAGTATTTATGGATATATAGGCAGCATGAGGTCATTTAGCTATCACATTAACAGAAATGCATGTTATTGGTGCTTGTTATTAAACTTATGCATGCACGACAAAAAAAAAGTTTTATTTTGATGTGGTGTTGATGATTTACAGATGATTTTCATATAAACTATCATTGCTAATCCTTACATATAGCTCAAAATGAGCAATTTTGAGGCCAAACTACAATTGCATTCAGCTTAAAAAGATAATATCAATGTACATAATTTTAGGTTAATTTGCATGTCAAACTTTGCTAAAACTTTTTGCACATTGACTAAATACATCTGCAGAAATCCTGTAAAATCAATACAGATCTAAATTAGTAAAACTAAGATTTTCTTCTGAAATTGACTGAAAATGTTTCAGAAAACCACAGCAGAAAGATAAACTTACAGTAACTCTTAAGTAACATACCGCCAGCCAACTTTATAGTAAATGCAATTTTTTTTCTTCTCAGTTTTGATATAAATGATTTAGTTTGAATCTTAGCAACGTAATTTTACATCATCACCCACTCATAAAAAAAAAAAAGAGTTTTACCCATGTTGTAAGAGTTTTGCAGCTCTGTCTGAAATTAAAACTCACTCATGCAATATAAACAGCCCCAGTAGGTGGCCCTACTCACTCAGTAGGATGCACCCCTGTTTAGCATTGGATTTATGGAGTCCTTAAGGCCATAGTGTAGCTTTAATTCATACTCCTCGCTGTGGCATAGATAAGCTTCTCTCTCTCTCTCTCTCTCTCTCTCTCTCTCTCTCTCTCTCTCTCTCTCTCTCTCTCTCTCTCTCTCTCTCTCTCTCTCTCTCTCTCTCTCTCTCTCTCTCTCTCTCTCTCTCTCTCTCTCTCTCTCTCTCTCTCTCTCTCTCTCTCTCTCTCTCTCTCTCTCTCTCTCTCTCTCTCTCTCTCTCTCTCTCTCTCTCTCTCTCTCTCTCTCTCTCTCTCTCTCTCTCTCTCTCTCGCTCTCTTTGTTATCTGTTGTGAAGTGATCACATTTGAGGGCTTCACCCAGTAAAAGCTAATTACTGTGGTAGGGACATAATGCAGAAGAGAGCATGTTTGAAAGGATAATATACTGCGGTCATAATGTGTTTGATCCCACACAAGAGTTCCATTTGTCTTAAAATGACATTTGTTGCTTGTTCTGATGGCAGGCATAGCCTGATGTAGATGGTTGTGATTATGACGTTGAGATTTTGGACAGTCCTTTTCTAATAAAAAAACATGCAGATTGATTTAGGCAAAAGTTTGGTGGTGTATAATGCAGGAATGCTTGAATATTGGAGACTTTGGCTACAGAAGCGCTGAAATGGACCTGCGGGATGTGTCTACATGAAGTGTTTTGTGCATTTCTAAAATAAGATTATTTTGTCTTTTCCCTGTGGTCTCACCTGTGAGCGTGTTGTCTTATGGTTGTTCTCCAAGGGCTCAATCTCTGAGCAGCATGCATGTCTGTTGTTGATGTTGGTGCACATCTACGTATGTATTCCTGCTGTTGCATTGATTATCTATAATATAACAGCATACAGTAGCTAATGCAAGAATACTCATGGAACACAAATTCAAATCAGTTTTGTGTTGACAAAAGAAATGGCCTTAAATTAATTGTAAATAATCTGAAGTTGTAGTGCTTTCAGATACTTACTCTGACACTGCAGTGACTGTTGATTCTGTGTGTGTCATGCACTAAAATATGTTGATGTGGGATTTAATTTAAAACCATTTTTACTCAGAAATTGCTGGTAAATTTCATAAATAATTATAAAGAAATATAATTCAATCAAAGTAAAAAGACTGAAATAGTATTTCCTCGCAAAACATACTCCAATTATCTTTATTTACAACTTAAAAAAATCATTTATTTTTCAGGTTAGAAATAATTTGAGACCAAAAAGGTTTTTGACACAGAAGTCAAGCTTCAAAATGTCTGAATGGCATTGCATTAGACATAAAATACCAAAGCAAGTGCATTTTATTAGAGTGAAAGACAGCTCAAGCACTTTCGTTTATAGTGAATGTGATGAACTTGAGGAGAACTGACTTCATACATGTGCTAAATATTATTGAGCAAAAGACACTGAACAAAAATTACATCCAGTCTAAGGTGGATTGTTGGTTTTTGGCACATGCCAGGATTGGAGACTATGTGGCCGATTAACTAAACCTGCTAAACAGCATAGCTAAACTGGAAGACTGATTTAACCAGTTTTCAGCTGGAAAAGATGAAATTACGTTACATTCACAGAAAGGCATGTAAAATGTTATTGAGCTCATAATGGGCTTTATTTGGGTTAACTGTTAAATTCATGCATATTCCAGTATGCACAAAGTTGTACTTGGAGGAGTTGAAGAAGTCATTGATTTGAAGATGATATCCATGTAAACTGCCATTGCATATTATAAATCTGTATATATTTGAGACCAAAACTAGAATATAATTTAAATGTAAAATACAAAATACCGAAGCAGTTCCATTTTGTTTGAATGAAAGATAGCTCAAACACTTGTCGTGGCAATTTTCTATTTCAATAAAGGTATGAGACAAAAGTCTTTTGAAGATTTATGTTCTTGCAAGAAAAGGTCTACACAGCCATTCAGTGTTGGCTATAGATTGTGACAAAGAGAAAATATCTTAACTCAGTATTTATACCCAAATCAGGATTCTTCTATCTCAACCAATCATAATGCATACTCAAATTATGAGTCCATTTAAGGTGTCCAACTATGTCCCCTAGATGTGCTTTAATGTAAACCATCTTCTAAGAAGCTAGGTATAAAATAGCATTTCTCGTCTCACATTTGTCTTGCACACACACACATCAAATAGATTTCCTGTTATCTCTCAGCTCATCAAAAACTCAAGCATACTGTAGCAAACTGAAGCACTCAGAGACAGTCTAAAGAACATTCTTTAGTATAGTGAAGTAAATAAAACCAATAATAATAATAATAATAATAATAATATTTCAGATAAACATACAATTTCCTCCACACACTTTTGTTAGTTAATGTGATGAACTTGTGGAGAATTGACTTTATACATGTACTACAAATCACCAAAACAACAGCTGAGTCAAATACAGTCATAATGGCTCTTGATTGGATGAAATACCCTTTTTAAACTAGTCCAAGGTGGTTTGTTGCTCTCAGCTAACCAATAAGATGGTTCAGCTGGTCTAATTTAGATGGGTTAATGTTCTGGCAAGGTTCTTCCAAAGTTATGAGCAAATATTCTTCCAGTAAAATTAATAGAGCGTTCGTTCAAAGTTATCTAGTTAATAATGTTCTCAAAATGTTAGCACAAAAACATTATTATAGATCACTAATGGAAAGTTTTTTCTAAGACAGTTTAGTTGGATGTTCATCTAATGTTTTTAGTTTTGGTACAGTTTATTAGTTTGCATGCACTAAAAATCACCCAAACACTAGCTGATTCAAACATGGTTAAACTGGTCTAATTTAGGATTGTTTTTTGGGACTTGCCAGTCTTGAAGACTAGCTATGTGGCCAATCAGCTAAACCAGCTTTGCCAGGCTTGGAGGCTGATTTAACCAGTTTTCAACTAGAAAAAAATAAAAAATAAATGGACTGATTGCTGAGAAAAGCAGTAGCATATTTTGTCTGCAGAGTTTGTCTGACATTTGGCGTAATTGTTTTATTATCTAATGCAATGACATTTACACACTTTTTTTGTGTGATGTACCTGACCAAATGTAATTCTGAACATAAGTTTGTGAAAAGTTCATCTTATTCTGCCACTATTTATCCAGTGCTTTTCCTATCATTTCTATCATCCTGTCATTAATACTAACTTTGTATACATTTACATTAACATTTAACCAATCAGAAATGAGGTAAAGGAGTGAAATTGCTCAAACATGAGAAACAACCTTTGGAGTTCAAAATATAAAGATTTATAAAACAAAAACCAACAGCATTATTTGTACTTGACATTCATTTACACAATTTAAGGATAAGTCGTTGATTTCAGAGCAAGATTAATTTGAAGCAGACACATTTGGGAATACCATATCAAAGTTTGAGACACTTAGAGCAAACTAAACGCAGACATTCAAGCAAAATTTATTAAATCACTCCCCAGCAGAGGCGGACAAAGTACTCAATTCCATTACTTGAGTGAAAGTACAGATACTGCTGGTCAAATATTACTCCATTACAAGTAAAAGTTGTAAAGACAGATTTTTACTTAAGTAAAAGTACAGAAGTACTTGCTTTTAAAAGTACTTAAGTACCAAAAGTAAATTTCCTTTTTTGTGTC